CACTATAATTTATCAAGCTTAGTAACATTAGTAATGAGCATCAGTCTCAAGATGCTAGTATTAAGTTGAGGGGGGGGGGGGTTCTAGGATTTAAAGACCTGACAGGGCCATTAGTAATGAGCATCAGTTTTAATTCACTAGTATTAAGTTAGGGGTTTAAAGACCTGGTGGCTCCAGTGGTAAAGAGCATGTCTCAAGACATTAGTGTGAGTTAGGAGTCCAACATACAAGTGTTAATTTGGGCAGATTTCTTTTCACCTATTTCAGGTCATACAATATTATTATTTCCATCACATGTATTTTAATTATTTATATTTCATTTCCTTAGCTATGTTGCTCACACCTTTGTCTTCTACTTAAGACCCCATTCATTTGGGATTCTGAACAAACGGTTATGGTGGCAGGTAAGTTTACTATGTTTTTATCTATTAACAAGTGAATCTTTTTCATTGGCTTTGTGTTTATTTATTCCCATTTAAAGCAATATACCAAAAATACTTTTCTAGAAGTTGTACTCTGTACAGTTGTTGAAAGCTTTGATTTTGTGATACCTTACTATCATAATCAAGAATATTAATTTAATGTATATATGTTTTTGTACAATTGATAAATGACTACATTTTTAATTATTTTTTATTTTGTTTAAAAAAATGAGGAGGTTTAGAACTGTACATGATTCATATTCTAAAAGGAAGTAGTTTCAGTTTTAAAAAAAAAGTCAATTATTTAAAATCATGAGTGATTAGTACTATTTAATGGATATTGCAGTGTAAAATAAATTTAGTAAACATTTGCCACCAAACAATATTCTCTTCAGAAATAGACATTTTGTTTTTAATAATAGGAATTTTCTTTTAAGTATTATTTCAAGGTGGTGGCTGTTTGTTTCTGATAAAGAATACTTGAGTTACAACTTAAAGTTAGCCTCAAAATGTGTAAAGGCTTGAATATTCACTAAAATATTTTTATTTGTTTCTGCACTTGGGAAGGGTTGAGCATGGATTAGTGGGCTACAACTTGGAAGGATAGAGGACCAATTCCATGACATGCTGCTGAATGTGCTCTGCAGTTTTAACTGTTGCTTTTTAAAGTGATAAGTAATCTTGCTGTTTGGTTAAGAATAGGCTCTCGGGTAGTGGGTGCTGCTGTGTGGTAGCCTACCTTGTGTAGAAGCAGCTCAAATCTAGTGACAGCTATATAAGGTGTCATTCAGGTTAAAAATACCAAAGTACTTGAGAAATGTTTGAGGGTTGGGTTTCACTTTAGGTTCTGTTTGTTACAATCATAGAAAGGTATATGGTTTGATTTACTTTTTTTAAATAAAGTAAATTACTTCTATGTGCACAGGTGAGAGTCAAAGTGTGAATGCTGTGGCTTTTTAGTCTCATTAAAAATTTAATTAAACTTCTTTACTATATCGACAAACTTGATATCAAAATGTAATTGATAAATCAAATCTTAATATTATGAAAGTTTCAATTTCAAAAGAAAATATTTAAAGAAATTTTCCTCCTTCATTTGTCTGTATCATGTGACACATTTTGCACATGAATTACACATATTTGATTTGATGTTCTGAGTTTAACACAAATTGCTCATTTATGGTATAGATATTACTGAGGCATAGTCTCATTTTACAGCCTCTGGTTTTCTTGATTTATGGAGATAAAAGCCAGAAAGTCAAACTCACTTGCTATGCCTTCTGTGTTACATCCTGTCTTTCACAAAATGTCAGTAATTCTTTCTGACATTAACTGTTGGATTATTTATAACCAATACAAAGAGAAGATTTGAATTTACCAAATTCTGTTTAAGGCTAACTTGTTCTGATGAAAGTGTTTGAACTTGAGATAAAAACCAAAAAGTGAATCCCACTTGCCATGCCTCCTGTCATATCCTGTCTTTCACAAAATGTCAGTAATTCTCACTGACATTAGCTGTTGGATTATTTATAACCAATAGAAAGAGAAGATTTTAATTTACCAATTTGTGTATAAGGATTATTGGGCCTACAGATTTGTTGTTGCTATCAACTAGTTCAGATTGACCAGGTAAGTGAATTATTTTAATGCATTTATAGCTAAGTTAGAAAGCCAGATAAATTATAATAGTTAGAGTACATTGCATTGTTTATACATATTATTATTTTATTTTCTAAGTTGCATATCTGAAATAAATAAGTTATCTTATATACTACTACCATCATTACAATAAATTAGGGCTGAGTTTATCAAAGCCGAGAGCAAAAAAACAAGGCCAGACATAAGTAGAAAAGTTCTTGTTTTATATGTATATTTTTTATTTAATGTTACTTGAATAAATAAAATGCAAAAATCAGAAACCTGTTAGGTTAGATAAAACAAAATGGAAAAAAAAGTTAAATAAAAAATTTATCAGCGAAGTCTACACAGGAGCTGCTCATGAATTATATAATTCATTTAAATAACTTGAGCTTTGTTTTATATGTATATTTTTTATTTAATGTTACTTGAGTAAATAAAATGCAAAAATCAGAAACCTGTTAGGTTAGATAAAACAAAATGAAAAAAAGTTAAATAAAAAACTTATCGGCGAGGTCTACACAGGAGCTGCTCATGAATTATATAATTCATTTAAATAACTTGAGCTGGGCATTTGCCACTTGATTTTGCTTTTTTACACAGATTTAGTAGTTAGATTAGGTTCAGAGAGCAATAAAATGAAATGGAAATGGTTGCAAAAAAAGATAGAGGACTAAAGATTTAAGGATAAATAACTAATTGTGTTATAATCTGCAGTCATTAGAGAAAGAAAAAAAAGGGTAATTTAGATTTACTTCATATTTTTACTTATTGATTACAATGTTGATGAGATAAACTTAGCTCATATGGTGTTAGGGTGGAAATAATAATAGATAAAATATATAGTTTTAACAAAAAAACCTGATATTTATTTAGGAGGGTCTAGAGGTTATGCAAATGAAATTTTAAAACTATGATGAAAAAAATAATTTTTATTCTTAACTTTAAAATCACCTTGCAATCGGATTAGTCAGTTTGTGGCAGACTGACTAAAGTAAATTCAGAGACAAATCTTTCATAAAACTTCTTTATTCAAAATTTCGATTTTCTCTATACAACATACTTTTAATGTTTCCTAAGAGCTTAGCAAATTTTGTAAAGATACACAAAGTAAATTTGGAATTTTAGTAAACATTAAGTCTCCAATACAAGCTTAGTCCAGTGGACCAACTTTGTTTACATAGCGTTAATCAAAACTGTTCACTTTAATCAACTTTTGGTTTCATACACTCTTTATGATAACATTTTTGTAAAAAGAAAATGGAACAGATGTATCCCAACAACTTTTCTCAATCCTGACTGGCAAAATTGTTTAAATGTTTATAATTTTCTTTCCCTTTATAGGCTTCAAGTTTGGAGTTTTTGTGTCATAATCACTTTGACTTTAACAAGGTAAGAGGATAACATATAATTTTATTAACATTTAGATTTATTTTTTTCTGGGCCCGTCATGGCCAGGTGGTTAGGGTGCTCGACTCGCAATCTAAGGGTCATGGGTTTGAATCCCCGTACCACCAAACATGTTCGCCCTTTTAGCTGTGGGGGCATTATAATGTGACAGTCAGTCCCACTATTTGTTAATGAAAGAGTAGCCCAAGAGTTGGCAGTGGGTGGTAATGACTAGCTGCCTTCCCTCTACTCTTACACTGCTAAATTAGGGACAGCTAGCGCAGATAGCCCTCGTGTAACTTTGCACGAAATTCGAAACAAACAAACAAATTTACTTTTCCCAAACTTAAAAAGCCAAGATGAAAAGCTTTACAAGAAACTTATAGAAAATATAAAAGTAATGTACCAACTTGAAAATGTTTTTATATAAAGTTTATAAAAGCAAAAAAAAATGTATATCAAAGTCATATATATAAGAATTTCTTTAGTCATCAATATGTATTTACCTATAAAGCTTTTGTCATCTGTAAATTCTCTTTCTTTTTGTTCACTCTCTCTGTAGGTTTCTTTTGCATCATAATATATTCTTGTGTTCTATTTTGTATCAATTGACAGTTTGCCTATGATGGAATATCGTATTTAAATGAAGAAGAAGAAATGATTGTTAAAAGTGAGCTGACCAATAGATCGTTGTTGATGGCCCTAGACAGGTACTTGTCAACTAGACGATATAATGTATAGTTAATTGTAACACTGTAGATTGTCCTTAAAAAACTTTCCTTAACATATGCTTGATTCATTTTGCCTTTTTGGACTGTAAAATGTGTAAACTGTCAAAAGTCTTGATATTGGAGAAACTAGTTTCAACAAATGTTCCTCTTAAATCTCATGTTATCTTCTGGCAGAAAAGCTAGTCAACAACAAATTTTGCTGTACTAATTTCATTAATTAAAATTTTTGCATATAATTTGTTACACAGAAAACCAAAATTACAACCAATTTTATCAATAGGGGTAATAATAAATTGTTCTCGAATTTCTCTAATTTTAATTTTAAAGATGTTGAAAGAAATATCTACCTTATATTTAGATAAGTTCGAGGTTTTTAACCATTTTTTAATGGAATTAATAAAATGTAGTTTTATTTTTAAAAAAACATGGAGGATAATGATATTTTTTACTGTTTTTACTACTGTAATCATCAATATGTCTTGCAAATCTTTTTCTAAAATCAATTTTAAGTCCTTATCTTTTATAATCTCTAAATTACCAGTAACAATATGGTATGAAAAGAATCTATAAAATCACTATTGATACAGTTGCAAGGTAAATTATCTTTATGTTAATGTTATTTTATATCTAAATATTAAGGGTAACTGCCTTTCCAAAAGTGGCTCTAGACAGCAAAAGGCAGTGGGAGTTGAGACTTTGTGGGTTCTTGTACTCAACTCCTAACCCTTAACCCTCATCATCACACCTGGAGTCCACATGTACCCCATCGACTTTCTTGGTTGTATATCTTTTTACATAATAATTTCAAATTTATATCCATTCTTGTAACTGTCAAGCAGAAATACTGGATCAGTATAACACTATTGTTTTCAAAACAGGCAGATGGAGTATGAAGCTATCATCTAATATTTACCCAGGGTCCACGCGGACCCCATACTATCATTGACCATCACTGTACATGCAATTTGCCCAAAGCATGTGAAACAAATTTCTAAACATTTCACTATATAGGCTGTTGTGGAGGATAATCCATCAAAGTAGTACAGTATCATCTCATCTGTTTGCTTATAACATCATTGTGGTAAGCATGTACAACAAGTGTTCTCTGTGATGACTGCTTATAATGCCCTATTTCATAGAAACCTTGTTTGATAACTGCTGTAAATAACCTGATTATTGGGTTTACAATCCATAGCCTACTATAAGGATATGTTTGTGTTGGGGTCTGGTCAGACACAAGGTGACCCACAATGTACACTTTTTTTTGAGCTGAAGTTTGTAGTATTGTGGTAATCTCATCATATATTGATGAATAATGACATGAATATAGGAGTATAATAAAAGTTTGGCATTTTTTTTGATGCACTGTTTGTATAAGGAATGGTTTAATACTACTTATACGTATATTGGAAACAATGTAATTTTGTAATATCTTGATTTGTTAACATCTTTCCTATAGAGTCTAGAATAAGGGTATAATGCAAATGGTTTTTAGAATTTCAATCAAGAGATTACTATAATAGTAATTTTATGCTGGAGTCTGGTTGGACCCCAGGTGTTCAATAACATAACTTTCCAAAGTTGTGCTGATGATGTTAACTGATTCTCCATAGTTGTCTGATAGATGGAATATACTCAATGCATTTGGGAGCTACTGTCATAGACATTTTCTGCTATGAGATGATGATAAGGATTGTTAATGAAAAGCATTTTTTTGTTTTTTTTAGTCTCATTGTTAACATTATTGATTTCTATTAATTTCATTATTGTTATGTAGTGGTGAGTTGATTGATTGCCTGCTGATAATTAAGGTATCTTATAGCATTATAACTATTTATATATATATAAATAGTTATAATGCTATATATAAGACACACAAACACACACATATGAAAGCTTAAGCACTAAAGACTGTATTTAGCAATGTCTATCCAAGTGCTGTTTTAATGTACTTTAAAATGTTGTTTCATAATTCTACTACTGTTTTTTCATTGGATACCTCTTACTGAATACTGCTGTTTTTGGGACAAGGATGTCTAACTGAATACTGTTGACTACAAGATACTACTGTTTACTGAGTATTGTTGATTGCTGAATACTTTTGTTTACTGAGCACTGTTGAGGATAGGGCACTGTTGTTTACTGGGTATTATTGATTGCTGTATACTGTTGTTTACTGAGTACTGTTGACTACAGGATACTGCTGTTTAATGAGTATTGTTCATGGGCTGGGTTGAATTGACCAAGCACTTTACCACTTTGTACTCTTTTTTTTTTAGTTTTGATATGACTAACTTTTAATATAGTATGTGTATCTTCACAAAATTTGGCAGACTTTTAGTAAACATTACGAGTCTTTTTATATACAAAAAATCTGATTTTTTTAGTGAAGTATTTTAATGAGCTAAAATACTATTTGTCTGTGAATATATCTAGTCCTTTTTTTGACCAATCTGAGTGCAAAGTGATTTTCATGCTAAGATTAAAATTACTTTTCTTCACCTCCAAAATCTCAAATTTCATTTTTGTAATCTCTAAAACCTCCTAAATACATTTCAAACGTTTCTTTTTACTAAAATTTTATTTTTTATCTGTTATTTTCTCTACCCTTATTTTATACAAGGTTGGTCAATTTCATTGATCTAGTAACCACCAAAAAAATCTAAATTACCCTTTTTTATTTCTAGAATGACTTTTAACATGAAACTACATTTGTTTATCCTAAGTAGCTTTAAACTTGCAACAGTATACACATATTTATACTTAAGTTTTATTGATTTATTGCCCTTTGAACTATGCTTAACCACTATTCGCACCATTATAAGTTGTAAGTTATTTGGGGAATGTGCAGCTCACATTACACTATTGAATTACGTAACTCATGAGCTGCTCGCATGCGAGCCTCATGAAAAAATCGTATTATTATTATGTATTTTACCTTAACCGACCTAAAAGAGTTTCCTGTTTTTATTTTAGTTACTTTTATAATAATAAATAAAGAATACATATTAAAAGCAAAAAATAAAGTACTTACCTGGGCCTTTCTTCTTTTTTTTTTTTTTTTTTTTTTTTTTTGTCGACTGTCAATATCACTTAACCCTACTTTTTTTATACCAATGGTAGTACTGCACTAAATAATTTTTATTTAATTACATAATGCACCAGAGAACATAGAATAATAACATGCAAAAAGCAGACAATGTCCCATAACTATCACAGTTTTTCTGGCTTTCTAACTATACAACAAGAACCGTTACAAATTCATCCAAGCTAGTCAATATGTTTTCTGTAGGAATAAAGCTTGTACTGGAAGAGAAACTGACAATTATGTGTACAAAAAACAATGTAATATAATACATCATTTGATAGATGAAAACCTTGGCTTTCTATTGATTATAAATAATACAGTATTAAGCGTAAAAGAGAATTATTAACAAATCCTGAAAGAGAGGATGTGACAGGTGGGTGTGGCAAGATGGTTCTAATTTTCTATATGATGACTGTGTAACCAAACAAGGTAGAAGGCTATAAAAATTAGGCTTTGTCTGAGCAATGAAACTATTATAATGAGTAATTTCTGTAGTTATTGGGGGGTGGATAAAATAGAGAAGAGGACATATCTAGAGAAAATGTGTCATGTGTGTCACGCTAGGTGAAATTAAGAACTTAAAACTTGTATATTATTAAAATATGGATTATTATCTATGATTTTATGCTATACTAATTGGTATAACATAAACAAAAAGTAGTTTAATTTCATTTTGAATGCAATCCACTAAAAATCTTATGGTGTGCAGTAAAGGATGCCTGTGGCAAGAGGGTTAATGAGTATTGTTGATTGATGAATACTGTATTTTACTGAGTATTGTTGATTGGTGAATACTGTTGTTGACTGAGTATTGTTGGTTAATGAATACTGTTGTTTACTGAGTACTTTTGATTGCAGGATACTTTTAATTGCTGAATACTTATGGAGTAATGTTGATTGCAGGAGATACTGCTGTTTACTGAACACTGATGAATAGTTATTTAGTAGTGTTTATTACAGGAGATACTGTTGTTTACTGAATACTGATGACCACAGGACCCTTTTTACTGAGTACTCTTGATTCTTAAATATTTTGCCTATTTGATGCTTTTGCTTGCAGGATAACACTGTTTACTTAAACACCATTGATTACTGAAGACTTTTGTCAATTGGAACTATGTTTTTTTATAAGAAACATTTACAATATTACTCTCTAAAGTTTAAATTTCAACTAAAAAGCTACTCCACTGGTCTATAATAAAATAAATCTTTTATATGATAGAACAAGATATAGTTATAGGAGTTATACCATTGACTTGTAAAATGAATATGTTGTATGATAGAGATATAGATATAAGCTACTTCTTGGACCTATAAGTTTGGAAAATAAACACCTTATATGATATGCACACACATATAACAGCTAATCTATCGACCTGCAAGTTTTCAGTATTTTTTTTATGATAGAGATATAGATGAATCGAGCCTGCAGCATCATTGTTCCCAGGTGTCAGCATGGTTAAGTACAGCAAAACAAGGTGAAAGACTTATCCTGCAGAAAGAAATGAAAGGTACCTTTATTTTTATTATTTGTGTGTGTGTAGCAACTGTAGCATTTGTTGTTAATATAATTTATTTCTTTATATAATTAAATATGTAGATATTCAAAACTTGTATATAGTAGAGTTATGTAACTTTGACGTCAGAATATTTATTTAAAGAAAAGGAAGTTTGTATCAAAAGTTTGTAAGATGTCAATTTTTTTCATTTCCAGGAGTTAGTGGGTATATTTTGCTTAGCGAAATACGACAAAAGTTTGCATCAGTGTGGGCTTATGTTTCGGATGACTTGACGGTTAGTATTTATAAATCAGGAATAATTTTAGAAATGTTATAACCTTGTATGAAATGAAATTGAGTGTAAGAATTTAGAAATAAAAGATGAAATATACATGTTAATATTTTTTAGCAAGGTTTAGTTACCTTCTGTTCATCTTGATGAGCCCCTTTTGTGAAGTTCAAAGTTTACAAGAAATGATTTATATGCCAGAGTATGTTATAGATCTGGAATTACAGATTTTTACTGTGTTCATAAAAATAATCATTAAGTCACTAAAAAATTGTGGAGTTACAGGTCATTTTATTTAGGAATTTAATTTTTATTATAGAAATGTCTGGATAAACATTATTTCTTGAAAAATTAAATAAAGTTTTTCAAATGGATCTTGTTTGATAATACTTTGACTATATAATTTGACAAAAAGTTTTGCCATCAAGTTCAGAATTGATACAATGAGGTATATTTTTATTTGCAGTATGATATCACATTTCTTTAGAATTTAAGTTAACTGGATATTGTAAGGCTTAGTGGCTGATCTAAGAATTATAAACAGGAATTTCTGGTTTTATTTGAAGATTTTAGCATTTCAATGCTAGTTGCAAGTTATACTAGTTAAATTGTCTATTGATCTTTTAACATTGTCAATATTGTTTGTTACTGAAAACTCAGTAACAATGATGGGCCCGGTATAGCCAGGTGGTTAGGGCGCTCGACTCGCAATCTGAGGGTCACAGGTTCGAATCCCCGTCACACCAAACATGCTCGCCCTTTCAGCCGTGGGGGCATTATAATGTGACAGTCAGTCCCACTATTTGTTAATAAAAAAGTAGCCCAAGAGTTGGCGGTGGGTGGTAATGACTAGCTGCCTTCCCTCTAGTCTTACACTGCTAAATTAGGGATGGCTAGCGCAGATAGCCCTCGTGTAGCTTTGCGCAAAATTCAAAACAAACAAAATTAACAATGATAAGCTCACAACTCATAAAAAGTTTGTTCCAAACAAATGAAAACATATCCTGTTGGATGCTTTTGCTTGCAGGATACCACTGTTTACCTAAACATCATTGATTACTGAAGACATTTGTCTACTGGAACTATGCTTTTTATAAGAAACTTTCTTATTCTGTGAATGGTAGTGCTTTAAAATTATATTGCAATGATAATATGTTTATTTGATATATATAACATAACATAATATTTTGGAACAACATGGGACCTATTGGTTCATCTTGGCTGTTCCATCCTCAAAACTAAATTAAACTTGTCCAATTAAAAAGTTTTTATTTTAGGGAAACAAAAATATTTAATATACTGCCTTTTGTTTTTGTTGAAGATAAACATAAATCCTATTTAAGAATATGTATTTAAGCATTTTTGTATATATCTTATGTATACTAAAAATACTTTCAGATTTTTGATCATATTTTAAATGTAACTGCAGTTAGTTTTCAATTTTTATCCCCCCAAAGCAGAGCAGGGTATATTGATTTATCCCTGTCTGTCCATCCTGATCTTGTGGACAGGATATTTCAAGAGTGGATGGATGGATTTTGAACATATTTATACAACAGGTACTACATACAAAGTTTTAGACTTGATTAACTTTCGAAGGTCAAGGTCAAAGTGGGGCATAGGTGTTTCATAAACAGAATTTGCATTTGTTTAAATTCGTCACTGGTTGTATTTCCTTTTCTACAATTTTTCATTACTTGTTACTTCTTTTCACTTTATGAATTAACCTATTTCAGTTGTTTTAAAATTTTTGTAATCATCAAAGTTTGTACTTTCATGTTTTTCTGGTGTTTTGAATTGTGCTTTCTTCAACCTGGGTTTTGTTGATTTTTCTCTAGAGCAGTTGATTGTGGAAAAAGTTAGCAAAGAGAAAAGAAATGAACTTGTAACTTCAGCTGGGAGTGAGGAAGATAAGTAAGTGTGGTAGTTTGATTCTGGTTCTGTTTATTTCTTTCAATGATGTATTTCTTTGTAGCTATAACATGCTCTGAGCATGATTTCAGTGCTCCATGTTTTTAGATAGGTCACTAAGATCAACCTTGGTAGACAACTTAGTCATTTATTAGTGATGATAAGTGACATGATATCTATTATGAGTTCAAATTATCTTCAAATTCTGGTGAATCCCTGAAAAAAAAATGTTAAATAGAATAAAATAATGAAATGCTTTCAAGTTTTTCAGAGAAATAAACAATTTAAGATTATAACAACAACACAAACATTTCAGGTTTGGAGAAGAATGTTTACTGTTGATGTTTGTTGTTTTAGGCAGTCATGATGACATGGCATGAAGTGTTTCATAATTAGCTACTTGGAGCAGTTCTGGTGTTTACTTGGTTCATGCTCTGAATGACCTGAAGAAATACACTACTAGAGCTATTTACTTTGCTCTGTTGTGAAGAAGTAACTTGGAGCAATTTCTGTGTTTAATCAGGTCATGCTCTAAATGACCTGCAGAAATATGCTGATAGAGCTATTTACTTGGCTCTGTTGTGAAAAAGTTACTTGGAGTACTTCTGGTGCTTACTTAGATCATATTCTGAATGTTCTTATTACAGCTATTTACTTTGCTCCGTCACAAACAGCTCTGATGCTATTTAAGTCATGCTCTGAATGACCTGAAAGAATATGCTGATAGAGCTATTTACTTGGCTCTGTTGTGATGCTCTGGTTGATGTAAAGAAATACACTACTAGAGATATTTACTTGGCTCTCTTTTAAATAAAATTAATTTCATATAGCAGTTATTGTTCTCTTTGTTAAAGAAGTATGTGAATTAATTTCACTTTAAAGTATGATAAATATTTTTTTCCAGATGAACTCTTTCTGTGACTATTTAAATTCTGTTTCAAACATGTATAATTGTGAAATGAAAAGCTTTGAACTGCCTTGTATATGTTTTTTAAGTATGTATATTATTTTTTCAGAATGTTGAATAAATTGCTGGGTTTTACCAGGGTTTTTCGTCTGTTAAAAGATGCAAAGAAGGTAGGGTTTGTTTTTAACTTTTCTGCCCACTTAGCTATTCATGAATGGTAGTACTTTAAACTTGGAAATACTGAATGAAATTCTGTTATGTAGAAGTTTTGATAGAGTACAGACAAAATGAATGTTATCATTATGTATCTTAAGATGAAAGGTCAGTCATTATCAACTGTACCTTTATTTACCTTTGATAAATTAAAGGTGAATATGACACTAAATAGAAAAATAAATTTTTTTAAATGAGGATTATTTTCTGGCATCTGAATATCTACACTGATTTTATAGTTTAAATACCACAAAGAAAACTTCATTACATTTTAGAAAAGAAACTGAAAAAATCAGGCATAACACTTCAAGAATAGAAAACCCAAGATGAAAATATTTGTTAGACTATTTTGAAAACTATATTTATATAATTCATACTCTCCATTTTAAAAAAAAGTCTTATTTAAGTTCAAGATTACAACTAATTTACTGCATTTGTTTTTTATTTATTTAATTTTTTATCAAAAATCTAAAATGGTTGCAAGTTATTGCTCAAGGCTGCAGATCAGAAGGTCCATAGTTCACATCATAAAGTTGTTAAATGTGCTTTGCACTTTCAGCTGTGGATGCATTATTAGAGGAATAGTTAATGCCATTCTTCTGTTCAAAATCAGATAAAGCCCTTGGGATGGTGGGTGCTGCTGATTTGGTTGCCTTACTTCCAGTCAGTTGTTCAAAATTAAGGATTTCTTTGCCTGAACTCAAGGAGTCTCAGTTTGAAACATACTGTACACCATACTTTGAAGTGTATCTTCTTGGCAAAGGCTGAGGATCACATGGAAATTCCAAATATCTAATGTTCAACATTTAGTTTTGTAATTCAAGAATTAAAAATTAACAAAAAATAAAAAAATATGCAGTTAGTCAGTGATGTGCTCTTCTGTTTAAATCTATCTCAGTATGTGTGTTAAAGCATCAAACTTAAAAGCAGGTAGTAAGGATTTACAAAGTACTTTTAAAAAATAGAACGAGGTGTTAAAGTATTTGTTAATTTTATGTTTTGTGGAATTACATTCAAAATATAATTTATTTACCAAAGGGGGGCTGAAGGCTACCTGTTTTAACTGCTCACACCACTATACAGTAGTGTGTTGTCTGTCAGACAGTCAGTAGACACTGAAATGACATTACATAAAGGATGCATAATATTACAATTTGTACTATTGTGACACCAGTAACGTGTGCACATGCCATGAATCACAAGAAGAATTATGCACTGTGTAGGCTACAACACAGCATGACACAAACTTCAAAAGCAAGAAATAAAAATATTTGTTACTCTTAATTTTGGTTTTATTTACTTTTGAAATGGAACACTTTCAGGGACTCTGGAAATATGTCTAGTTAGTATTTATAATTTAGCAAATATATGAATGTGAAATGATTAATACTTTTTGTTACATTTTTAGTTGAACCAGTATACTTTATATTATGTAACCAAACAGTGGCTCTAAAAGTAATGCATAGTGTGTATTTTGTGATAATTGTTTTAGTATAGCTTAGTTTTTCTTCATATTTAATAGAAAAAGTACTGTCATTAACTTTTTCACTCTCATGTTTATAGGTAAACAACTCACTGAGTTCCAGATTTATTTTTAGATAGACTACAAAAAGATGTGTGTGTGTGTTTTAATATTTAATTACGTAACTGAAATTTGAAACTGGTAAACTGGAAACTTTTAAGGGAAAATCTTTTCTTCATTACTTTACAAAATTCCAAACTCCCATGACAGTGAAAGAATTAAAGCTTCAGTTTAATCAGTTTTATATTCTAAGTTTGAATTACATCTCAGTGCATTTTAACCAATTTGTGGAAGATTGTAACACTTGTATTTCATTTTTATTATTTATGTCATCTTTCTTGCAGCCCCTTGTTGGACACAATCTACTCATGGATCTAATGCTGATGTATAACCAGTTCTACAAACCTCTACCGGGTATTGGCTGCATTTTTTAATTATGATTTATAATTGAATATTGTGGATCAACCACAGATATGTGTGATTTATCCCTAGAATTACCATTGGGGTCTGCATGATCTTATTGGCTTTTTAAACAAATTTTTCTAAACTATTTTTGTACGCTAAATTGCTTGTGTGTCAATGTCTTTATTGGTTTCAGGGTCCCTAATAACATACGAGTCACACAAGATAAGTTTACAAAAGATACCATCAATATTATAATTAATTCCATTAATTACTGCTAGGATGCCATATGTATTTTGTACATAGAAAATTAATGATTTAACTCAAATTATTTTGTCAGTTCTTTACAGTGTTGTAGCAGGCAAAAACATAAAATAACTCAATATGCAGTATGTTGATCCCATTGGTAGTGAACGATATAAAAACAAGTCGGTAATCTGAGAGATAATGAAAAGCACATGTTAAATGTGTTTTATACAGTAGTTGATTATTAAGGTTACCAAAACACGTAGCTCTCATTTACTGTCTATCAGACTGGATAATTTTATTGTTTTGTTTACCCAGTGTGCATAGATTTGGCCCATTGGACCAAACCATTATTCAAGAAGTAATGATGACCATAATTGTGAGATTATTATGGGTGTCTTTACAAAATGTGCCAAAGTTTTAGTAGAAAGTAAAAGTCTGTTATTCACAAAAATCGGATGTATTTCTAAAGAATTTGTACTCAAGATATATTTATGAATTGATGACATCAGTGTGACACGCACTTTGAAAAATCAGTGTGTAAAGTGATATACATGTGAAGAATGAAAATACTTTTATTCATCATACTGTTTGTACACTGCATTTGCATAACTTTTAGAACCTCCAAAATGCTTATCTACAGCTTTCTTCAGTATTCCTATATATTGTATCTGGTATTTACTCTCCTCTACCACAAAATGTTGCTAAATCAGCAATGTAGGGTAAAATGAATAGTTGATAACTGACATCAAATACATAAAGCCATGTTGAATTCCCTGTAAAAGGTCATGGCATTCATACTTTGACCGTCACTCATTCACATATGGTTAAACTTGTTTATTTTATAGACTGAATTATTTGTAGCTTCTTATCAGAATTTAAACATTAATGAACCAACTGTTTAATAAATTAACAAGAAGTACATAATTCCATCTGAAAGCTATAATGTTAAAACTAAAGCTATGTATCTGCATCCATGTGAGTACACCTTATGACAGTATATTATCCATGTGAGTACACTTTATGACAGTATATTATCCATGTGAGTACACCTTATGACAGTATATTATCCATGTGAGTACACCTTATGACAGTATATTATCCATGTGAGTACACCTTATGACAGTATATTATCCATGTGAGTACACCTTATGACAGTATATTATTCATGAATTTAAAGAAAAAAATTAAAAACTCTTTACTTTCAAAAGGTATTTGCTGTCCTAATGTTTCCCTTTTACGGCTTTGTCAAGATCATCATAAAATAAAAATGCTCTTACTCAACTGATTTTTTAATTTCTGATATTAACTTCTGAGGAGATTAAGCTGCCTTAGAGGTCTGTGGACTTTTTGATTTTTAATTTTTCAGGTAATATCCAGTACATTAGTCACTCAACTCTGAGAAAGCTTTTGTAGATACTAGTGCTGAATGAAAGTCTCGTAAATCTCAGATATATATCTATATATATGCATGACAAAATACTAGAACTTTTTAACGATGTATTTAGTAGTAGTAATTTTCAAAAGAAAACCAATTGGCTATATGTGTAACTATAGTAGAATTATTTGTATGTGTTAATTTCTTATGTACAATATTGTGAGTAATCTATTAATTATCATTAACTTCTGATCAAAGCAAGCTACCTACCAACACAGATAAATACTAAAAATTAGTTATGAGAAAATAAAGGTGTTATAGAAAAATTATATTTTGTTAAAAGTCTACAACTATTGCATACAGTTTCAAAGCCTTGATCGATAACTCTCAAATCTAACTGACATACTTTGATTACCAAGCAATTTTAACTCTCAAATCTAACTGACATACTTTGATTACCAAGCAATTTTAACAGTTTAAATCTTTTTTATTAATTTTTTTTAACTTGTAAAAACGAGATGCAGAAAACAAATTTCATCTTTTTGTTTTTTATATGTTTTTTAACTAAAAATACATTAACAGTTGTAATATTTGTGCAACTTCCCTCAATAATTTGCCTTCTCTCAGTAATTCATTGCTTTTTTTGTGTCTGTATCTTGTATCTTCAGACAGTTACAAGCATTTTAAACAAGAGATTCATCGCATTTTTCCTATTATTTTTGATACTAAGCATATGAAGCAGAGCATGAGAAAGGTAGGATTTTTTTGTTTTATCTATTTACACCTCCTTTTACTTCCTGGCATAAAACTGTTAGTGATTGTGCATTTACATTTTTTAACTTAAGTTGTTTAGTGGATTATCAAAAACTTCAGGCTGAAAAATATGTTCCATGTAAGCTCTAATATTTTGAAAGGGTTGTTAAGTAGTTAGTCAAGTAAGCAAGGAGCAAATAAGGTCACAGTATGTGATTTGTGTTGAAAAATACTCAGTGGACAAAGGATTTGAAAGGGTTGGAATTTAATGTTTTTATTTTGTTTTGGAACTTTTATTCTATTATTTCCTATTTTTTTTTCCAAATACAAGACTATTTTATGATTAATAATCAAAATACTGTAGGCTTATTACCTTTACTGTTCACAAAACATTTTACCATCTTGTAAAGTTTAAACATTACCATCGTAACAAAAAATATAAAGTAGTATGTTGAATATTTGTTTAGATTTTTGAAGAGAAAGGATTTTATTGCACTGGAAATCTTCTAGAATTGTATCAAGCATTTACAAGGTAGGTAGTTGAAGTTGTTTTCCATTTCTATATTTTTATTTTTTAAGTGAAACTTCAAAAAGGGTAATGATTGTTTAATGATTTATATAGTAGAACATTCTTTTTGTCAACAAAAGTGAAGACAAACAGTTTTGGTTCTTAACTATGACTGTATATTAAGATGATTTAATATATTGTGTTTGTGTTTAAAAGAGATTCTGTCTTGGTAGGACTGGCTTGAAATCAGTATTTCAATGCATTTGATGGAGAAACAAGCAAAAGTACCTGGCCCTAGTGACGGAAAAGTTTTTAAGTAAATCTATCAATTTAAATTATTTCATTGACTTTTAAAAGGTTAATTGCGTTGCACTCTTGGTTTCACTCACAGCTAAAGCTCTGAACTACTCGTACTGCTCACCCCAAAAGTAATTGTAGAGCATTTCAGCCATATTAACATAATGGTAAATCTACATTTTTTATTCTTTTGAAGTTTGAAATGTGAATGATAGTGTGATTAACTTCTAACAGTTTAATGTAGAATATCCTGCTTTCAAAATGATATCTGGCATCAACATTATTCATGCCTGTTCTCCCATCATTTCAAAAGTGAATGTTGAGCTTTGCCTGCATGCGCACCTTTTCTAAACGAGAGATTGATTAATACTTGGACAGATACCACGGTTCGAAATATATACAAGTTGTTTATCCTAACTCAATCCTACCCAGGTGGAATCTCCATTTTAAAAAATACAGAAAGTAAAAAGATAGACCAGTTACTGCCCAACGAGTCTTTAAATTAATGAGTCATTATAGCATTTTGTACATCAGTGATCAATTTTATTAGCAATTAATGTTTTGAGTAATGGCTTACTCTGTTTGCTAGAAGTGGTTTTTGTTTTTTGTAGCCCAAAAGGACAGTTTTTAGCTCTGTACTATCCCCGGGTGACTCACGCTATTGGTTTTGACAGATATGGTAAGCTCACTTTTTCATTGTAGTTTTCTTTTCCAATGTAATTGTCAGAAATTGAATGCTAAACTTCTCATTTCTTCTTAAACCACATATAGAAAGAAACATTTTGTTAGTGTATTTTATTTGCTGTGTGTAGTTTAATATAATGAACCACACAGTTAAATCTAAAATGTTAATAAACACTTAACTGATAGCATAACTTTCTTAGCCTGAAAATAGATAGCTTAGCAAACTTGTTAGTAAATCTAATATTGAGAAAATTTATATGATTTCATGAAAAAAAGTATAACTTACTTGCTAATTCTTTTATGCATGAATTTTTGAGCAATCTTTAACTACATATTTATTTATACTTAACTCTCTCAACATGGGCTCGGTCAATTTGACCGACCACGTGACCTCTTTGTACACGATTAAAGTCTTTACAGATTTAATACTTCTAACTTTCAATATAGCGTGTATATCTTCACAAAATTTGGCAGTCTTTCAGTTCGTATTATAAGTCTTTCATTTACAAAAAATCATATTTTTTAGTAAAGTATGTTTAATAAAATAAAATAAAAATTTATAAATTAATGTATTGAGTATTTGTTTGAATAGTCTGTGTGCAAAGGAATTTTCATGTTAAATTTAAAAATACTTTTCCTCATCTCAAAATTCTCAAATTTCCTTTGTGTAATCCCTGCCTCCTAAATGCATATCAAACGTTTTTCTTTTCAGTAAAACTTTATAGATTATCTGTTATTTTCTCTACCCTATCTCAAAACTGACCTCGTATCCACCAAAAAAATCGAAATAAACCAAAATACCCTTTTTTTTCTTTCTAGAATGACTTCAAATTGTAAAATGAAATTACATTTGTTTATCCTAAGTAGCTCTAAATTCGTAACAGTATATGTATATTTATAATCACATTTTATTGTTTTATTGCCCTTTGAACTGTGTCTAACTACTATCTGCACCATTATAAGTTGTAGATCATTCGGGGAACATGAAGCTCACGTTACGCTATTGAAATACGTTACCTATGAGCTGCTCGCATGCGTGCCTCATGAACCATTTTAACTCTATTATTATTCTTATTTAACCTAATCTAGTCTTAAATAACTTAAAAAGATCTATATATATTAAATTTTAGTTACTTTTATAATAATATATAAAGAATAAATATGAAAAACAAGAAATAAAGTACTTACCCAATCTGCTTTTTTCTTGCTCTCGGGTTTTCGAGGAGAGTTAACCCTAATTTTTTATACTATAGATAGTAATGCACTTAATAATTTTATTTAATTAAATAATGCACCAAAGAATATAAACAATATTCTGTACAGAACATAACATTATATAGTACATCATTTAATAGATGAAAACCTTGACTTTCTATTAGTTATAGGTAATATATAATGAAGTGTAAGAGAGAACTATCAACGAATTGTGAAAGAGAGGGTGTGGCAGGAGGGGACTGATATTCTCTAATCGATAACTCTGTAACCAAACAAAATTGAAGGCTATAAAAATTATGGTTTGTTTGAGCAATAACGATTTTATAGAGAGAATTTTATGTTTAATTTTGTAATTTTTCTGGGGGTGGTGGATAAAATAGGGATTATGACATGCTAAGAAAAAATGTCATGTGGGTCACACTAGTAGAAATTCAGGTTTTTTTTTAAATATTGCCACTTAGAATTAAGAACTTAAAACTTGTATACTATTATAGTATGGATTATTAGCTTAGCTTTTCTGCTATTCTAATTGGTATAACATAAACAAAAAGTAGTTTAATAAAATCTTGAATGTTAGATACTAAAACCTTGTGTCATGTGCAATAAAGGACACCCGGGGTGATAGGGTTAATATGTCACTGTAAATCTGGGTTCATTTATATGGGAAATAATAAGCCTTTTACTTTAAACTTCAAACTATTTTCTAGTACTGTGAAAAGAAACGATGAAATTCATGACAAAACTTCAAGTTCTGTACAAATACGTAACTTTTATTGGATTTTGTTATTTTTCTTCATTACCTCTGCTCCAAATTTTGATCTTTAATCTGCTTATAATTACATGCTTACATATAACTGAATAACAAAATTTCATTGACTTGTCAATGATAAAAAGTATTTGATTTTGTATTTTGTGGAAAAGGTATTTTGTATATCTTTTGGATCATTATATTTCTTAAGTTATGTTACATGTGCATAAAAACTAAATAATTTTTTAACAATTAGTTTTAAAGAAGCTTCAGATTATTTCTGTCAGTGTTGGGTGCAAATATTAATTGTTACTGAATCATAGCATACAGTATCTTGCTTATAAACTAGCCTAATATCTCTTGCATGTACAAAGACAGTAAGTTACTTAGCAATTTTCATTTAGTTCTGGACAGCCTTTTATGTATTGTTTAATCAAACACTTAAAAGTCATTCAGTTGTAGAACACAAGTTCTTAGTTACTTATCTTACGTTTTTTGAATTTGTCTTTAGTGAAGTTTTTGTGTACCAAAATCAAGTTTACATTTAAGTTGTTCTCCTTTCCTTACAAGCCACTGATACAGCCCCTCACGAAGCTGGTTTTGATGCTTATGCTGCTGGCTACGGTAAGATGTTGCTACAAAGTTTGATGTTTTTTAATCACCTTTTGCATGTTCTTGCATAAAACATCATTAGCTTTACAGAAATAATTTTTCAATCTCTAAAATTTTTTTAGACTATTTACAATGAACATTATAACTAGAAAACAACACAGTATTTTAATACCATCACTAGTTATAGAAAATATATATATATATACAGTGATAGTTATTAGTATGACATAATGTAATTATTCTTATTAAATTATTTTCATGACACAAAATTTCTGTCTCGTGTTAATACAAGTGAAAATCTTTATCATTCCAACTTAAAAATCAGAACATTTAAGTCAAGAAAATTTGTCTTACGTGTCAGCAAACGAGTTCACAATACTTTTTTTTTTCAGAACCATAAGTTTACATTTAGTATCAGGCTAAAACTGTACTGAGTGAATATTTTCTTTGAGAAATGGTGAATTCTGCTATCATGTTGTCATTGGAAGAGACAAAGTATCCACTGAAACTAGTAATTTCCTTATGAAGTTTTGAAACAACTATTTGTGGGATGATAGATTTATTTCTGTACAATGTTTTATCTTTTATAGTGTGACATGACCACAAAAAGATTTAAGGTACAAGTCATGCCTGAATGTTAGAGATGAAACAATGTATAGAAATAAATCTATTATCCCACATATAGCTGTTTCAAAACTTCATGAGGAAATTACTAGTTTCAGTGGATACTTTGTCTCTTCATAAGTTAACTGGGTACCTCTTAAAAAGTAAATAGTAATCTCCTTATAATGTGATTTGTATATGAAAAACAAATGTTGCAGATTCTTTTTTAGTAGCTTTAAACTTTTTTTCTTTCCAGTGTTCATGAGGATTGCACATATTCTTGCCATGAAGAATGTAAGGTAAATTTTTGTTTTATAAGATAGTTTATTTTAGTTTTAAATACTCATTGGTATATAAAAACTGCATCTTGCCAAATCAAGTGAAAGTTTCATCAGTAGTTTGCTCAAACTTTTTAAATAAACAAGCTTAGCACCAGAGCAAAAGGTTTTTATGCATCCTTAATTTTTACACTTGTTAAGAATTGTTGTTTAAAAAGCCTAATCGACTCCATAAGGAAGAGTTAAACTACTTATATGTGTTCATTGAAAAGTAGGACATATTTTGAACACATAGTTATTACCATAATATACTTAAGTAAAGTTATGTTTTGTTATTAATTAACAATAGGAGGGAATCTGTACTGGAGAATCAAAACTCAGTAGAAAAAATAATAATAATATTTAAAATATGCCTAATGCATCGTGGTCCATTAGGCAACCTTGAGGGGATAAATGTTGACTAAATCTTTCTATATGTCATTGAATTGGAAATGTATAGATTTTTTTTTATGGCTTTAAGTCATTTGTTGGCTGATGAATCAGTATATAATACTGTCAGCCTTATTAAATTTTTCAACACCAACAACTCTACATGCAAAGACTGCTTGAATAAACACTTGGTAATAATAATAATACAGTTAGTCAGCAATACTGCATACATATATATATCTAGAAGTAGTGATAAAGATGCAGTTACAAAATATCATCATGTGTAAGTGAACAAACATTTACTGCAACCACAAAACAATGAAGTGAAAATATATTCAAATGTAATCCAAAAACATGCAAAAGCATGTTGCTTACATTTTTTTTCATTTATTTTACTTTTTTATATCGTGTACATTATTTTTCTGCTGTTAATATCCTGAATTATTTAGAATTACCTGTGACTGCATTATTTATTATTTATTTGATTTTATTATTGAGCAACTATCTTCCCATAATTGGCTGCAGACAGTAGATGTATAGTTTGTTTCAGGACATATGGGTTCAAGCACCTGAACCAGGCCCCTCTCATAATTTTAGATGTGTTCATCTGTTCTTTCATAGCAGATTCTTACTTGTGTTGGTGTATAATTGAAAAGGTAGACTATCATATATGTTATTTTAATGCTAGTATACAATATATAGTAAGGTGGTCCTTATTTGCAAGTAAAATTTCAGTTTAAAAAGTCTAAATCTCTCACCTCTAATTTTGTTCTAAAGTAGAAAGAAACATTAACTATCAAACTTTTTCCATCTTGGACCATATTTAGAGGTTACTCAATGAGTTTGAAGCTCTAGACTGCAGTGGCCTGGTACCTTATGTACTATGTTATATAAAAACATATTTGTTATGTATTAAAAATGATTTATTTAAAGTATATTGTTATTTTATTAAATGTACAATAGTATAATTGCATAATTATATGATTTTTGTGTGGTTAGTCATTCTTGCATTGTTATTGTTTCCTTTTTGCTGTTACGAAAGTGTTTTCTATGATCCTGCACTATTTGAAGGAGGAATTGTTTCTGTTTTTCTTCCTTTGTTATGATGGCATTACACTCCTCAGTAAGGGTCACACCCCTTTCAATATTGTCATTTACCACATTCAAGTGTTGAAATGTCTGTAGTGCCTCCCTGTAGTCCTCTCTGAGCTTGCATGACTTGAGATCATAGTCCAGAAATATAGATGGAACTTCAAGGCACCTGAAAAAGTATTTTGTGTTCTTTGTGATGAAATCTTCAATTGACACGTCCTCAGACTTTCTGATATTCAGTTGGATGCACTTTGGAGGTTTATGTAGTGCCATTATTATTGCTTATTTTGTCATGTGAATAAAGCTGAATCAAACCAATGAGTTCCTCATTGAGACACCATAGATGTCCAGCAAATTTTCTACAGGCAGATTTTGAAAGAATGGAATTCACCTTCTTATACTTAACAAGACATTGTAGGAAATTTAGATCATTACAAGGAGCAGAAATGGCATCAAGCCCTAAGATAGACTTGAACAACAGATGCAGATGTCTCTTTCCTCATGGCCAGTGAGCTTAAAATGTCCCACAAATATCCAGATCTTGAGGGCATGAATTATTTCCAATACGATATGTAAACTCTTCTAACATATAGCTTTCCCAGTTCAGGGCTGCTCTGTATATGCACCATTTTTTTATTTCTTGATATGACAATCGTTTGTGTCTTTTATCTTTTTTTTTTAACCGTTTTGAAAGTATAATGAATTTTATTTTCCAACATTTCTGCAGGTTTTGTGGGCTTTTATTTTCCACATTATTAATTTGCAAGTGAAGGTAACTTCCACTTCATCTTGTGTGGAACAAGATGTTGCTCACGCGAGACTACCAACTAAAATGGCATTGGGTTTATATTTGTCTGTTGGGGAAATAATGCATTTTGTGTAGCAAGAAATGGAGTCTTTCATGTGGCCTAGACTTTCTTCTGGACCTGATATACTTCCTTCTATGTGTCCCATTCATGACAAAGGGAATTTTGACATTTTTTCTTACCACATACCTTTACCAGTTCTTTTAGCCATGCTGTCATGGATTTATCTTGGCCTTTTTGTAGTTTTAGGGACATGATTTTTTAGGTACATTACTTTCTTCCTCTCTTTCTTGACTCATATGATTTCTCTCCTTTGTTCTTAATTCATTCCCTAGAAGGAGGAAAAACATAAAAGTCAATATTGGATAATTTTTCTATATCAACATCACTTGGGTGCATTCCTGCCTCATCCTCCTTGCGTATTGTCATATATGCCTGGACTTAACATCAAGTTCTATTCCCTTTCTTGGACTCCCAAACCCTGAATTCTCATCTTCTGACTCTATATCTTCTGTGCAACTTTCTCAGGCTCAATTTTCTCACTTTTGTATTTCACTCACTACTCTTTTATGCTATTTTTCTTCCATTCACCTTCTTTCCAAGGCAATCTACTGTTTCCCTGACAGATTTTCTGCAAATACTCGTTTAGTTATCTTCTCTATTTTGGTATGTTTATCTTCCTAGGCCTTATCACTTCGTACTTAGTTGATCTATTGCTGGATTTGTTGGGGTAGGATGCTATTTTACTGAAGTGCATTTGCTTCCTTATCTCAAAATCCTTCCTCTGGCTCTTTCATCTAGCAGAGTGTTTTTAATGGAGTACCTGATTCTCTGGAGTCGCATATTGAGGCTACACACCAACATCTTTCTTATCATCATCTGTTTCTTGTCTCTCTCAAGCTCCTTCTTTACCCATTTCTGTTTCCTGTCCTCCTGTGTCCTCTGCTCTCCCTGTCTCCCCTCCCATTCCTCTGCTGCCATCTGTTCTTACACCATTTGTAGACTTCAATGCCATCAGTCTTGGTGGTGACTATCCTCTAGGCTCAAGGACAGTAAAGGATTCTTTTAGCTCCATTTGCACACCTTTAAAGTCCATTTAAGGCTGATCTATGGGTGTTGCAGGTATTATTAGGGGGCATTGTTTTTTGCTCCTCCTCCCTTGTCTCTTGTTCCTTTACTAAGGAGGTCCAGTTTCTTGCCAACATCTGTCAGAGGCAGCGTCAGACCTATTGGCCAATGATGCTATTGAACAGGTTTCTTCTTCTCCAGGATTTTATTCTTATCTGTTTATCATTCTCAGAAAAACTGGGATTGGCATCTGGTACTAGATCTTAATTGGTTTCTTGACCTACCTCCTTTTACCATGGAGACTTTTCTCACCTGGTGGTCTTTTTGCTCTGGGATTTTGGATGACCAAGGTGAACATACTAGATACTTATTTTCACGGTCACATTTCCCTTGCACCCAGACTTTATTTTCAATTGTTCATTGAGGTCAGGTTTATCAGTTCTACACACACTGTTTGGTCTTGCATTGACCCATACATTTTTTGCCAAGAAGTGTGTACTTTTGCTCATCACATTCACAGCTTGGACAACTGGCTTCTTTTAGCTCAGTGTCAACAGGCCTCCTACAGCTATACTCAACTTCATCAGGAGGTGTCCTGTCTTAATTGGTTAATGAAGCTGGAGAAGACTCATCTCACATCCACTCCATATCTGGTTCATTTGGGTATGTTCTTCAATTCTCGTCTCAGTACGGAAGAAGATACGTCCCGTAAAATTAAGAGACTTTGTTGAATTATAATTTGGTGTTTGTGAATTCTGTACATTCAATTAAGTTATTGTTAATTGTTTGTTGGTTTAATGTAAGTGGCTACTGTTCGGGACGAACAATACTAAGGAAGGGGCAGTGTTACGACAGCGGGGGTCACGTGACGCTAGTAACAAGTCATATTCTCGAAGGTTCGTGAATCCTCCAGTGTTTACTAGCTATGCGGTATTCTTGTATATATAAGTCGCCAAGAAGTGACGGCAACAATGTAACTGAACTGCAGACAGAGATAGAGACGGACAGTTGAGTCGACCATGTGAGTCGTTCATTGTGAATTATAGCGTTTGTTATAGCGTGACTGTGGAAATTAAGTGTATTGCAAAGTTGTATTCAGAAAGAATAAACCAGTTTTATTTAAGAAAGGACTTGTATCGCTAAAGTTTCTTCGGAAAGAATTTTTACGGAAAATTAACTAACGACCATATGCATTTTCTACCTAATTATTCTATGGTAGGAATTTTTTAAATGTTTCTTTGCTATTTTTGCACATACATGTTGTCCATAAAATCACTGATTTATTTCCATCCTATTTACCTTTCTTCCTTTGTTCTACTATAGTAAATAATACCTGCTCCACCCATGAGAATATTGCTGCTGTGTCACACATTATGTAAGCAGGTTAACAAAAACAATGTCCTTCACTGGCTGAGTTGATCATACCTTGAGGCTACTACCGTAACTCTATGCGTATGGGAATAATGATAAAAGAACACATTTTGTTTGAGGGACATGGAGTAATTGGTTTCCAGTGCTCTATCCTCCTCTTCTCTCCCTGTGTGGGAAGTTCCCTCTACTTAGGTGACTTGGGCTTCCATGGAAACCCTTATTCCCTGGGGTTGTGCTCACATGTGTCATTTGTAGTGGGCTGTGCATGATCAGTGGAACCTCTTTCAGGATTGCATACAAATTTCACTTGGTAGCTCAACAGAACCAATACCATGAAATGTGTTCTTCTTCCTCCTTCTCATCTGGATCTCTATTTTTTCCAGATGCTTCCCTGATGGGGTAGGGTAATTGTCACATCTCTCTGGAGATTTCAGGTCTATAGTCCCATCATATCAATCTCATAGAACTTTTGGTGGTACATCGAGCTGTGGATTGCTTTTTTACAATGGTATATGGCTGTCTAGTTATGATCCATACAGACAATTCCACAGCTGTCTCTTATACCAAGTACCAGGGGTCACTTGGTCTTGCTTTCTCAGTTTTCATACCCTCTAACTTCTCTCCAGGGCTCATTCCCTACAAGTATGACTAGTGGCTTGTCATATTTCGGGTACCATAAATCTTGTTGCAAATTTTCTCTCGAGGCCCGACAAGATTTTGTCTATAGACTATTTCCTCAATCCTCAGATTTTCATGTGGCTTTGCTCCCATCTGAGAACTCCTGTTTTAAATGCATTTGCTATTTTTCACAACACCAAACTTCCCCTTTTCTGGTCTCTCGTATCACAGCCATCAGCTCTAGTGGTGGATGCATTCAGTTAGGACTGGACTGACTTTTTGCTTTATGCTTATCCTCCTTATCATCTCCTTCTTCATGTTCTCTTCCTCGTACTGGACACTCCTTATCAGGTCCTTCTTGTAGCTCTGTATTGGCCAGATCAACCATAGTTTCCTCTATTGAACCTTCTTCACTCCTACCTTCCTCTTCCTCTATCTTTCTCCCATTTTCTTCTCCTTCAACCTCATCCAGTTGTGTCATCACTCTGACATCATTTGTGGGCTTTGTCCACTCCCTTGAAAGACATTCCATGCTTTTCATATGTAGCCTTTCTTCTATCTCATTCTATTAATCCTCCCTCCCTCCTTGTCTATTAACAAAAATAGCTTTTTTTTTTCACAGTTGGTCACTGCACCATTTTTTCTCCCCTTTTCATCCTTCTGTTCCCTGTCTTTCTGAATTCTTCATGTGGCTCTTCGAACAAGGTTTATCAGCATTGATTATTGCTGGTTACTGGGCAGCTCTATATAATACTTTGCATTTTTTGCCTTACCAACATGTTTTCTCCTCACTGTTCCTAACTGTGCTCTTCCATTCTTTTCAACACCTTTGTTCTCCCAGTCCTTCTGCTCTTCCCAGTTAAGACCTGAATATTATCCTTTTGAACCTTTGCCCTCCTCCTTACACCATCTCACTTAAAACCTGTTTCCTCCTTTTCACCTGTGGAGGATATTGTTTGAGCTGGCATGTGGATGACCCCTCACACTTTCATCACACATCATCTTGTCATTTCCTCTTTGTTGAGCTTAAAGGCTGCCTGCAGTTGATATTCTACACACATTTTGCTGGCTCTAATTACGTAAGTTCTTTTTCTTTTTATCTTATCTTTCCAGGCCCTTCTCACACCTTACTGGATCTCACCCAGTGGCAAGTGATGCCTGCTAGGTTATACTTATCCTAAATCCACACAGTGTAGGACCTTCAAGGCCTGATGTAGCATTCACTTATGAGATGGGATTTTTCACAAGAGTACTAGAAGTATCCTTGCAGTGCATAATTTCGTAAACAAGGCCTGTGGACTATCATGAGTAAAGCAAGCAGGGGATAACTGACCATCCATCATACCTAGTTGAATAAACTGATGATGGACTGCTTTTTAATATAAAGTTTTCGTGGTCACCCATTGCACTGTTCTATGGTGCTGTGTTCCTTTGGGCTCCCCAATTTTCTTTCAGCCCCTTTTTATTCTAGTGGAGCATGGAAGTCCTTGCCACTCACCATTTCTTAGCTGCTGGGCTGGTGGACCATGGAAAATTCCTCCTGATTGTGACCAATTACACTCAATAGAGAGTAGATTGGATATGTTCCATTAGTTTAGTCCAGTTCACCCATCCAGCTTGCTTTTCCCCATCCTACTGCTGCTCAGATGTTGTATTCCTGAATGTTCTGTTGTTGGATTGGCACAGAACCAGTTAAAATTAACCATCAACTCAGTTCATGGGGTGGATATCACTTTTTCATTATATTTCACTGGGTTTGAGATGTAGATTGTAAGGACCCTCCTTCTGCTGCAGACTGAACAAAAAGTACCTAATATTGCTTGGTTTTGGACTTGAGCTGACCCACCATATATGGTATGATGCACCCTAGCACACTATACAAATTGGTACGTCTGTGATACTGATTCATATTATGAAATATTCCAGCTGTAGTGAGTGGAGGTTATATGTCATATCAGAAGCTAACGTTTTCCAACACTGGAAATGCATTTCCTGTTGATACTTACCTTCACTCACACTTCCCACCTGTTTTCCCCATTTACGGTGCATCTTTTCTTGCCTAATCTTGAAGCGATAATTGAACGCTCAGTATAGAATGAGTCAGCTGTGTTAGGAGGGTGTGTCATGTAGAAATGTGTGATTTTAGGTGAGAGTCTCAAGTCTAGTGGCGAGCGAAAAATGGTGCATGTCTATTAGAAATACATTTTCAGTGTTTGCAAACGTTAACATGTCAGTTGTAATTATTTCAGAAATATAACACTAGGATGGAGACATTACTTACACGGTGGGGTGTGGGAGAATTTTATCTAATACAATTTAAAATCTATTAATTGATTGATAAGGTAAACCAGATTTGTTGTTCTAAGTTGTGATTTAGTGATGTTGTATGTGTAAGTTGTGTTTTAAAATTCTTGCCTGATCTTTATTTTGACATTAACATGGTGATTTGGAATAATTAGTATTTTAACAGATAATTAGTGATTTGTCATTTATTTGTATTCATTTCTGACCAGAAAATTCAAGTTTTGTTAGCTATAAAATGATTAAACATAGTTTTATAAACATAGATTTAGTGTAGTCAGTCTCTGTTATTTCTACCCCACGGCAGTGTTTCTGAATGGTATACTTATGTTGTTTTTACCCTCAGAATACAGGCAGCTCACCCCCTATCATGGTCAGAACATCAGGGAGCAGTTGAACCATATAAAAATAAAATCAACCTTATCCGTGGAAGTCTACATCACTTAGTAATTAATTTTTTCTTTGTGTTTTAAACAATCAAAATACTATATCGTAGTCACTTTTGTTGTGTGTTATCAACACTTATTTTGTGGTAAAAAACATTCATTGATCCTAATCCAGTTTCATTATTCCAACTTAAACTATGTGACATCATTGTATTTCCTCAAAATTATGTAATTTCATAGTTTTCAGGCAGATGCCTTCCTTGAGAATTCTACCCATAGAATGATAGTGGGAAGTATTTAGAACAATAGACAATATATTCGTGAACTGTTAGAAAGTTATTTGAAGCTTTTGAATTTTATATTATTAAAAGCACTCATTTATTTTATTGTGCATTTCATAATTAGCCATTTATTTTTTATTTCATGTAATTATTTTTGCTATATTCAAATTAAACAGCTAACTTTTGCTCTTTTCAATAAAAAAAGACTGACTTATTACTCAGAAAATTTGTAAAGTGAGCTTCCCATTACTCTTCTTTGCCTGAAACATTGTTGCAGTTTGAATATATCTCAGATATTTCTCCATTCAAGCTTTTGAAAGCAAAAGTTTTCCAATTTGGAATAACTTCTAGTGTTTTCTTTAAACTTTTGGAGGAATTTACTCTTTTAAGGTTTTCTTTGAAATCAGATATTTTTTTTTAATGTGTATTAAAACAAAGATTTATATAAGGTTAAAGTTATCACCCCTCTAATGACATGCACTTATTGTGATTCTGTTTTGAGTCAAATTTGTGTTAAAATTACATTTTTTAGAAATTTTATCAAAGTGTATTCCCATCATTTAATCTTCCTGGTCAACCTTAAAGTTAAACAGTTTATGCATATAACTAAATTAACATATAAGTTTCAGATTAATAAAAATTTTGATTTTTTGACTAAAATTTGTGTTTAATTGTCATTGATAACTTTATTTTCTAATGATTTTTCAAAAGCAGTATATTTTACACGATTATTATCTCGTATTTTATTAAAAAACATGTTTAATTATATTTTGTTAATGTTTTATAAGATGATTTGTATTTGTTGCAGTCTTTATTTTTCATTTTAACCCAATCAAGGTTTTAGATGGTGAAGACCCTGCATTTGAGCGCCCTCAGTGGCTATTTGTTGAAGTAAAATCAAACAAAGCTCTGGATCCAATGGAGGTAAAGACAAATTATGTATTATATTTGTGTTGCATATGCTCACTTTTCATAAAAGAAGGATGTGCAGGAAGTTCCAAAATACTAACATTTAATTAATTTTAATTGTTATACATTTAAAAAAAATTCACCTTTTGAATTCCAAAAAACTGATATTTAAGACATTTTTAGATGTTTATAAAATTAGTTTTTTTTTAATTCCAGTAAAGTAAACTTTAACCTATTTTTATATCTGTAAGAAAATTAATCTTTCGAATTCCAAAAAACTAATATTTAAAAAATTTTTAGATGTTTATCAAAGTAGTCTTTTTTTATTCGAGAAAGTAACCTTTAAGCTATTTTTATATCTTTAAGAAAATTAACCTTTTTTCCTAACATTATAGGCCAAATTAGAAACCTAGTTTTCAACGTGAACCATAATATCCTTCTAGAAATTTAGCATAATTGGTAACAAATGGAAAACTTTAAAGGTTTGAGAAATAGAGTTCATTATTAGAAAACTTGTTTTTATCACCAGCTGAAACCAATAAAATAGTGTATATAAAATGTGACAGAACACACAGATAAGTTTGTATTGTTGACCATCTTTAAGTTTCTTGACCAGTGAACATCATGGATGAAATATGCCCACCATTAAGATATAGCAACTATAACTAAGTAAACAGTCAGCTTACAACTGTCAATTCACACTTTGATTAGCTCGTTTAAGAATTACCAACTGAAAGTAGTTGCAGATCAAAAGAAAAGATGTAGGGAATTAGTTTTTCTGTTGTTGTTCTTTTCCTTTCTACATAATTTAGCATAAGAGAAGCTAAAACATTTTATGTTTCACATAAAAATAAGTGTGGTTATAGCATTTCTAGGCCACTTTCTAAATAGATACATTTCAAGATTTGGTTAAGAGCTGTTGGTAGATGATAATTTTGAGCATTAAACTCAATGTGTTGAATTATTTTAATTATATAACACATTCACGACACCGTGCGCCACTGGTGGTACATATGCATGTTTTCTGTTGGACATCGTGAGTCACAACTGTACCTTACATCTCTAAAGTCTTATATGAAGCATTTATTTTATACGGATGGCTATAATAAAGCCACACTTTCCATCATGTATCACTGGTGGAGCACGAATGCCATGTTGAAAGGACAACTGATTATAAAACAAATTTACATGATTAAATCACTTTTTATTTTAAAATTACATCTAGAAGTTGGCATTAAATTTTTCACTGTGAGTAATTGAAGCAAAAAAAACACTAACTGAGACTTCTTTCATAAATAAGAAAACTGTTATGATGACTAATATAATAAGAATAGAACTATTATCATCCACAGTAAGGATTATTTTATGTGAAGTCCCTTTTTTATGCCCATAAAGTTGTGAAATATTCATAATTCTTCAAAAAAAAACGGCAAGATTAGGCTGAAAAAAAGAAGGAAAAAAATATTAAATATTATGATCATTTGATTATTATTACTTAAATCATAGTGTGCACCACCAGTGGCACATGACAGCCAAAGCTTAAATGGGTAAAGATAGGACATCATGTACCACTGGTGGTGCACTCAAGAGAAAGTTCCCAATGCAGTCATTCTGTCATAAAACATAACATAAAGCTATAACATTCACAGAGTTCACAATGAGGCCTTACGTTCCTGTTGCATAATTAGAGTAATCACTTACACTGCGAACATGTTAAATACTCATTAATTAGACAGAATGGTCCATAACACTGGGAAGTACAATTAACAGATTCTTTTTTAATCAATCATGTTTTTTACCTTAACTTCCTAACATCTAATCTAGTTTGGAAGCAGATGGAAAGCGTCAAGTAGATAAAGTGGATAGTATTGTTTGCATTTCTCTATGTTTACTGTGTAATGTGAATATTAATTGATGGAGAAGCATATTTCAATTTGGAATATTTCATCTTACTTTATATGTTAACCATGACCATTGAATTCAAAACTGAAACTAACTTTTCCTGATTGTTATACATAAATCTATTCCCCATTCCAAGGAGCATTTTGTTACCAGATCAAAATTAGGGGACACATTTTCACCTCACCCCAATTCCACCACCTATGTATTCAGTAAATATGCATGCTTATTGTGTCAATAATGTGGCTGTACTATTTCATCCAGATTTAAATGAAAATTATACTTATGTCAAGGATAGAATTGAAACTGGTAACAGGAGACATAGTCAATAAATTTTGTCAAGTATCTGAAACATCACTCTGTGTTGATATTTTTGTTCCTTATGAAAACTTTTCTTCTTTCTCCTTCCCTTTTGTCCATTAGTCTTGCTGTATAATTAGGCCTAGACTTCCACTTGATTAATAGCTCCAAAGAATTCATATTTAACAGAATAGCTGTGGGAATGTGCTGAAAAATTACATACAAATGATTAGGTCTAAAAGCCTAACATAAATAAATATTGACATAAATATTAGGTAAACATCTTTACCTTTAGATTTTTATTTTATTATTTCTTAATTCTATAGAAGTACATAATTTTCAAACAAGAAAGTACCTTGTTTTAATATTTTAATGTAATTTTGAAGGTATTGCATGAAGTTAAACTTGCTTCAAACTTTTGCATAAGGTATCCATAATGATTCTGTTTAACAAAGTCCTATACATTGTCATTTTTGTTAAACAGTTACGTATGTGAATAAACACAACTGATATGAACATATGGAAGAAGGGTTCATAAGTAAGCCAGATCATTTCTAAAGAGAACAAAACTAAATACAGAATATTATGGGAACATGTCTTTTTCAGTTCTATGCATTTCTATATAGAAAACTTAAAAAGCAAAACAAAAAGATGAGAAATATCTAAACTATCTTATTATAACATATTTAGTTAAGATTGAAATTGTCGTGACATTTTGCTTTTTTTTCTTCTCTTGAAATTGATAGATTACCAAGAGTTCTTACTTTATGTACAACTTTTTTTATGTGCTATTTTTGGATCCAAACAAGGTGACCTAGATTGCAGATCAGTGGCTGTACTTAAATAGTTTGGTATATATGTTTGGTAAATAAAAAAATCCTGGTTATTTTAGTTTTACAAATGTTGTCATATCAAAGTAATTTCTCTCTTGTCTTAAGAATCTCTTGTGTAAACTGTTTTAATTTCTGACAGACTTGTAGATATCGAGTGAATTGTAATAGACATAACTCGCTTGGCTATATCGGTACATTTTGTATGGAATACTTTCAAAAGATGTTAGAGAATATTATGTAGAAGAAACTTACTAGTTTAGAATAGAGAATATTTATTTAATATTGAACTTGGAGAGATGAAATGTTTTTCTAAATAAATTTGTGTTTAATTTTGTCAAAAGCTTATTTGTAAGTAAAGCTGGTGAGAAAACAATTTGTTTTTTTCTTTAGTTCTATAGCCCCAAAAATTGTTCTGGATATATTTTTTTTTCAATGTCATTGTACTAATCTATTGTTACAATGTATTTCAAATCCAGGTATTTTGTTTTTACAAATGTAAGTTGTTTATACAATTGGTATTTAAAAATTAGAGAGAACTGAAACCAATTTTTGTTTATTTTCAGAATAATAATTCGAAGTCCAACTATGTTTTAAATGACTATGCTCATTTTTGCCCCACTCTATATATTTTTTCTTTACATCTGTATTTAAATCATACTTTTGTTACTACACAATATTTATATGAGCATTATTATTGTTATCGAAGTATACACTGTGATGTACATAAAAAAGAGCTGTGAGCCTTTAAGCCTTTACTGTTGTGTCAGTGATGTAATGTAGCAGGAAACAAAAAAAAAGTATTTTTGAAGGAGACCTTCAGATGTAACCAACTGAAATAAATCAAGTAGCAATTTTTTTTCAATTATCTCAGTAAATATTTCACAATGGAGTTACTTGTTTAAGTCATTAGTCTATGTTATTTCATGGTTGGTGGTTTGGAAAAGGTTACTTGTTATATTAACAGATGTTGGTAGATGGTTTGACTGAGCAATACTTGTTCATAAGCATCTGTTTATCTAGTTTGAACAGATTCTATTTTAAAGCTTGCACTATCTGTGGGTGCAAATTAGGAAGTTTCTGTTGTTTTCTTTCAATCACCAAAACTCATACCTTATAAACTGGAAGGTTTATTTTGATTGTATTTCTTTCTTTTTTTGTATGTATGTGTGGGAGTGATGTATTAATTTTATGGAGTATAGCTTGATATGCCAATAAACAAGAAAACTAGCTTACTGGTTCTTCTGAATGATGAATAAATTAAAGTAATAATAATGAATAATTGGTGGTAAAATAAATAAATACTATTGTATTATTAATCCTTATTCTAATTCTGATTTGTAAATGGCTAGTATAAAACTGATATAAATTACAGTTCACTAACTTAATCTAGTTTACATCATAACAATTGTTGTTCGTGAAATTTGATAATATAAATAGCGTTTCAACCACTACTGTGTCTGTCGTAGCCCAGGTGGCTTGATGTGCCCTGAAAGTTTTGAAAGGTTTCCTATAGCAGACATAGTGTGATTGACATATTGTTGTACATTCTTCTTTACTTTCACTTAAATGCTTAAAATTAACATGTACTTAGAAGTATTCCAAGTTTATCAATTGGCTAAGATGAAAACGAGAAGAGAGAGATTGTAAAACATTTCTCTGGCTGTATAAGTTTGGTGTCCAGAAGAAATAGCACTTTGGAAAACTCTTCGTGCAACTTAAATCTTGCATGCTATGTCTAATACACGAGCCTTCCCATTTTTATATAAACAAGAACGCTCAATGTAAGAATACAAAATATTAGTTTAAAAAAATTGTGACTCCACTAATTTAAGCTACACACAAGTGAAACCTAGCTATTGACTCTCAGGATCCCTGAAACTATTTTTGTCTGGATCACCCCAGGCTACTTGCCCATTTTATTTTGGAGGCCCCAGGCTTCCCCTGCTGTGTTGAATACAAATAGTACCCTTTTTTCATTTATAT